TTTTCTGTTTCTTTTTCAACCTCTGTTGCCGTTAAGCGTTGAAGGGCATCAATTCAATACTTGTTTTCCTATTTCTTTTTCAACCTCTGTTGCCGTTAAGCGTTGAAGGGCATCAATTTAATAGGCGAGTGAAATGGTATTTGCCAATATAGGCGTATAAACTCAAGCTATACTCTAAGTACCATCCTGTACTTTGCGATAAGTATCGCCACAAGAGTAGGCTGCTAAAACGACTGCAAATGTACATTTTAATATACACCTCTCAAGAGCTTCGATTTTCTCTTTCGCAAGAACGCTTTCAGTTTGTCCCCACATCATAAACCTTACAAGGGAACAAACACTGCCATGTAGCACATAGTACGCACCACATCGCTATACTCACAGGCAACGATTTCTGTCAGAATAATGGTATCATTCAGGCAACATCCACCAGAATATAATGGCTTGCATATATAGATTTATGTGAAAGGTTCAGGCGCAAAAGCAGTAGCACCCATTTCTTTCTTTGTAAAAAATAAATAAAACTAAATAGTATTTTTCTCCCATCCCCCTTTCTCCCCACCCCGTGGTCAACACAATTTAGATCATAACATAAGAGGAGGGCTTTGACCATGCCTGTTGGGGTCAACTCAAGCTGAGAGGGATGCAGGGTCCAAGCAGAAAGACCGATAGACGTGATGGAAAACTCTCCCTACTGTGGAATCAAACTCAGATCTCTTATGTGTAACGGTGCAGTGCCTAACCACTACACCACGGACATCATATTGTACCCAGTAATTAGAAATCGGGATTTTTTGGAGGGGGGGGGCTCCAAATTTATGCGGGTTCCCTCAGTATGAATAAATACTTGTTTAGTAGTTTTCGATTTAAAAACCGGTGACTGGACATTGGTAGGTCAATTTCGGAGGTAACTTTTTCTTTTATAAAATTGAAGTGAGAGTTGCCTGCTTTTATTTCTGAACCATTCGTCAGGTAGTTCATTGCGTCATTTTCTTAGAAATAACAGTCTCATACTCTGGTGAATATGAATAAGAAAACAATCAAATACAAATAAAAACCCATCGTTTGTAAGCGTCTGTACACAGAATTCAAGAAAAGATCAGGGAAACGTATTTTAAAAGCCTTACATTCGTGTCGTCTTTTGGCAAACAAATTCGTATTCACAGACACCCTTGCATTCAAAGACACATAATAATATACATACTCACACACAATAGTTACAGACATGCATGAACTCAAACTTGCAGACGAGAAACAAATAGCTACACACCCTAACACACATACACATGCGGGTAGAAACGAATCACCGCAATTCCTCACGTATTCCAAAGCAAAACAGACGGAAATCACAAGCCAAATAGGTCAATAATTATACATAGTTGCATAAATTGTCTAATGTACATGCAGAGAATCCAAACAATGATGGGTGTAATGTTGATACTAGAGCTGGGCGAAGACTCGAGTCTGGAACCGATTCCCACGATTAGCTACGGATGAAAAGTTTCGACTCCTTTTTACGTAAACCAATGGTTACATTTTTTGGAATTTATTTTTGATTTAAAAACGTTGGTGCCTCACATTGTTCCCAATCAAGGTTGTCCTAAATCCTGAAGTTGTTCGGGGCCAACCAGGTAACCATTGGAAGAAATCACATCAATAGAAAGTAGGTAATTGGGATCGGAGCCGATTCCTACGATTCCTAGCTTTCAATATTTGGGAACCTAGCCGCCCAGCATTAGTTGATACCGTATGTGGCTTCATTAGTGGACAGGAGTACAACCATGAAGTATTCCCACAACGGCTGTACTGTACTGTACAGTAGAGGACCACCTCACTCAAAGATACCTTCTTTTTAACGTTTATTTAATTTATCGTCGTGTACTCTACCTTTAGAAAGTTTCAACAACTTCACTAAAAACTCTTTGCCGGAATCTTTTCGAAACAAATCAAGTTACCGTTTCAACCCCACTTCCCCCTATCGACATTAATCGATACATCTTGTCAAGCGTACCCCGTAAACATACACATAATAATATTCAGTTTCTGTTGACTGCAACGATCATACCCTTCAAAAACCCTCGGTGGACTGACCAGGGTAGAGTTAATTTCCCCTGCTGTTAGGGATATCGCGTCCAAGCAAAGATTGTACGTAGCAAGATAATTAAATTTGTCCAAAAAGTGTCCGCTGAAGTCCGCGCATTGCTTCGGATGGCGCTGCAGTCTTTGTCTTGAAGCTCTCTTTCGTTTCTCCAGAAGTAGAATAGGAATAGCGCAATTCGTTAGTTTCGGTTTTATTGTTTTCCACACAAGTAGGGTAACTCTGTTCGCAAAGTCCGCACTTTTTCGAAAAAAGCGCCACCGGATTTTGAGGCCACTGTTTTAACTGGCTGGAAGAGAGGAGTGAACTATCTTGTTATGTACGATCTTTGATCCTACTTGATGGATCCAGAAATCGAATTCACTGCGAGGAGTGAACTATCTTGTTATGTACGATCTTTGATCCTACTTGATGGTTCCAGAAATCGAACTCACTGCGGGTTTATTACGAGTCCGAAGCCTTGATCACCACTCGACTACTGCGCCCCTACCCTCTGCCACAGGTGTTATCTTCTCGACCTTATTCTTGGAGCAGTTAAGTTGTTTGCCGTATCCCCACCCCTTTCAGGTCACGTTGCTGTCGTACTGACTTACATAATACGTATGTACGTCAGTGATTGTCAAATTTTTTATAGCCAGATTCCACTTATGCTCTGTTATAAGGTTAACATTTCCGTACCGCCCACCTCAATGTATTTCTAAAAGTAAAGTTGTTCCCGCACCCGATCCGGACGTTGGGGATTGCCTTGTTAGTGAGACAACTTCCTGGGCCTTCGGCATATTGTAGAAGGGCGGCCAGTTCCTTTCCACGACGCCTTTAATTCCCCAACTCGAAGTCAGGTACCCATTACTGTTGGGTGGACAGAAGGGGGTGAAAAAAATACGTGTCCGAATCGAGGCTCGAACCCGGACTCTCCGCTTCGGAGACGAGCGCAGTAATCGCTTTGCCACATAAACAACAGGGCATTAAATAAAACTTTCCACTGCCCGAGTGAGCCCATAATTTAACTCGTGAGCGGCATAGCCCAGGTCGGCAATCACTGAGATACTTCATGTAGGGATCACGCAGGAAAGGTGCAGAAACGTCAATTTTAAGTCGCACAGGTTTATTATCTTTCATCAACCGAGCAGTGTCATATATTAACTACTACAATTTAGAAACTTATTTGGAAAAACTGAACAGATGGGTGACGGGGAAACATAAGTATGATATAATAAGATGGTTGAGAGCCAATGAGCGGAGATATAACTGAAGAACCATGATCACCGACATCATTTTCTGACCTGCCACTTGATGATGATGAGATTCCTAGAAGTTTAAGACAATAATAATAATAATAATAATAATAATAATAATAATAATAATAATAATAATAATAATAATAATAATAATAATAATAATAATAATTGCATTTATATAGCGCATATCCACGCTCAAGAGCATGCTCTATGCGCTTTACAACTATTATTACCTCAGCAGACCCTCTGAGAACACTCAGAAACATACTCAGCTTCCGCGGAAGCATACAGTGCAAGCTGCGGATTTCACGCTCTCAAACACTATCAAACTGACAAGATCGTTCACCGTCTATGGCCGGGTACCCATTTCCACCTGGGTGAAGTGAGGAAAATTTGTGCGAAGTGCCTTTCCCATGGACACAACGTCGGGCCCCTGACGGGACTCGAACCACCGACCTTACGGTTGCGAGTCCGAGAGCCTAACCACTAGGCCACCGACGCCACAGACAAAGAGGTTGTAGCTATGTCTCACAGAAATAGGAAACAGCCGGCTGTGATCGTCATGATGTGAGAAGACATGGGGGCAGGGTTGGGGGGGGGGGGGGGAGTGTATGCTTTACTTTTATCGCAACAGGCATAGTGGAAACTATCAATAAGTGATTGGTTGGCGGTGAGCTCCTTCTATCCTACCAAACATCTATAGTCCAGATCTATCCTCCTTCTTTTTTATATTTTTACTCTCTTGTAACACCTCTAATCATTGGCACTTATGTTATATGACCTTATTATGTTGTAAGTGCCGTAAAACTCTTACTAAAACTAAACAGTGGGAACTCATTAATTGTCTTGATATCTGTTACATATTTCTGTGTATATGTTTGTTCCGACAAATGCAGTTTCTGAGACACTTGAATAAACATGAAGCCCTTGGACATCTCGTTCTCACTGGTAAAATTGAAGGCCTACGGGGAAATGATTACCTCATGGTGACATACTTGGGAAGCCTAAACAGATGGGTGACGGTGAACTCATCATCATCATCATCATCATCATCATCATCATCATCATCATCATCATCATCCAGTGCCAGATCTGAGACAGACATCGGCGATCATGGTTCTCCTTTCATTCCTTTGCTCGGATGCTCTTAAAAAAGCTACGTTTCCCTGATCTTTCCAGGTTACTCATTTGTTTAGGTTTCCAAAGTAGGTTGCTCTGGTCCTACCCTTGCCTCGTTTGCCTTCAACTTGGCCAGTGAGAGCTAGATGTTCAAGACCCTTATGTCTATTCAGGTGTCCCCAAAACTGTATTTGTCGTTTCCTGATTGTTTTTAACAGTGACGGGGAAATATCAGAATGAAATAACTTTTTGAGAACATCCGAGCGAAGGAATGAATGGCAAACCACGATCGCTATTGTATGTCGCAGGTCGGGAACTTGGTACACGTTTCTTCCATTAGCGAAAAGCGTCGCACGTATGTACTTTGTTTCCCACTTTAGCGCTCCTCCATCAATTAATACATTCATTAGGTCGTTTCAAAGGCGGAGGCAGTGGTGAAGGCTGATAGGTCCGTCCACAAATAATTGAGGGGCATAATTGGATGGCTATAGGTCGATGCAGATCTTACCTCCTCTCCTTTCCATGAAGTCATTGCTCTTATTTTCTTTTCTATTTAACTCGTCCCTGTCATGCGAGAAAGTTGGTTTTATTTTTAACTTGTTCGCAGGAAAATTACATCATCTCCTCCAATTATTGGGCTCCATTAGTTAAAATTTAACACATGTGCTATGGCACTTCATAACCCCATGCTTCTAAATACCTAGATCTATACAAAACAACATGCTGAACAGATCTAATGTCGTGAAACATCAAGGCCCCAAGCAGGAATAATAATATTTAAAAAATATTTAAAAAACACGACATGATCTCCTACCCATCCTTCTTTTTACCTTGATAATTATTTTTTCAAAAAAAAAACAACTGACGAGAAAAAAAAAAACGTTCGCAATATTGTATCGATTCTAAAAGAAAAATAAGTGACGGATAATGTACAAACTTCAACAAAAAACAAAAAAACCTCACAGGTCAAAAGGAAATCAATGTACAGTAATTCAGTCCTTCACCAATGACGAAGGTACAGTTCATGTCATATGGAAAAACGATCAATATTTTTTTAGAAGCGTAACAAAGGTACAGCACATTGCTCAACAACGAGAAAGTCAATTTCTAGTTAAAATTTTCTTACGCATAGATCAATAACTAGAATTAAAAACTTTAGCGATAGAGTTATAAAATTTCAGCAACGAAACTAGAAATTTCATTAATAAAAAGACAAATTCCAGTGTACAATATGGCTCCTTGCCCATGTATTTGCATAATAGTCTTTAATCAATCTTTGAGAACACGGAGATAATATTATTGTACACCATCAATATGACACGCAAGAAGATGATAATCATAAGTCAAAAATAGAACAATCATCTTACAATCATAATTAGATTGCCATCATCATTATTTTTCCTGCTGTGTAAAATACATTTTCCAGATACGTGAATTAAGTCGTGCTACTGCTGTAATGATTAAAAAGAATACTAAAACAAGCAAAAAAGAAAGCGCCGGTTCCATCCCGTACTAACTCGCTGGTTGAAGGCTCCCCAAAACCATGGCAACAAGAGACGCGGCGAGGATGACGTAAGCAAATGGCGCCCTGGCGTCACTTCCGGTATTTCCGCCATCTTGTACTTCCGTCTGTCTCCCGCCGTGCTCGTCACTGATGTATGCCGGGTTACCATGGGAAGGCCGGCTTGTCGTCTGCACAGAACAAGAAGTAAATGAATTATGATAAGAGTAAGATATTTGTAATCAAACAGTGCCAGCATATTTAAGCAAAATCCCATATTTGTCCAGATACCGGATGGGTTCGCAAGCGTAATGTTGGGCGACCGTTGAAGTTTTTATAGGTTCGAAAGAGTAATGTTGCGGTTTTTTATAGTAGAGGGTTTTACGGCGCTCGCAACTGCATAATTAAGTCATATGAGCGCCAAGGGGTGGGTGTCTACAGAGAAGTCTTTACAGGGAATCAGACTTAGACTGCTCACCTCTCTAGCTTTAACAGCACAAAGTCTGCTTCGACTATCAAGGCACCACGGAAATAGCAGGTCACACGAGCGTGACAAACATACAAAAGAAGTAGAGAAAAATGACAATAGTAAGGATTAGGAAAGAAAAAGCTGCAGTTCCCTGTTGTAGATCAGGCACAGTTATGAGCGTGACATGATGAATCAGCCCATTTACAATTCTACTGTGCTTGAACGAGAAATACCCCCCCCCCCCCCTTTGGGAATGTCGCGGTGACGTTTGAAGATTGTAGGTTAGTAAGTGTAATACACCCAACCAATCAGGATCTCTTGCCCCCCGAAAAACCCGAATGCAAAATTAAGACAAGAAATTAACGTAATAAATTACAATGAAAACAGCTACAGTAACAACAGAAGCAAGGCAGAATTAATACAAACGATACAATTACAACTTTTGAAATACCACAAAGAAACATACACAGAATACAAAACGACCAAAAAACAGTGTTATTTAATTTGTTGCAATAGTTATTATTATCATATCATTATTATTATTATTATTATTATTATTATTATTATTATTATTATTATTATTATTATTATTATTCTTATTATTCTTATATTATTATTATTATTGTTGTTGTTGTTTTTATTATTATTATTGTTATTCAATTTGTAAAGGGGAACAATAATTATTTTCGAATAAAGGGAAGCTACTATACAGTCTTAGCTAATATCCTTCCAATGTTATGAATTACTTCCCTTGCCAGGAAAAATGCTCAAGTTGTTTTTCGTACGTTGCACCAAAGATTCTTTGGTTGTACAACAGAACCTGTTTTTAATAGACCCAACTCCATTCCCAATACATTTCTGTTGTGCGACACTGCATAATATTTAGTTCTTTTCTTTAAAAATAAAAATCAAACGATATCCTTCTTCAATTTAATGAGAGACGTACACTCCCGGAAAGATATTCTGAGCGAATGACTTTTATTCGCTTTCATGTAATTTTGTGCAAGAAGTTCATTGGTAAATAGGATGTACTAAGGGTGAATAATCTGTTGATTTTTTCTTTAAAAAATAGGTCTCTGTGGCGGCCATCTTAAGTTTTCAAACCAGTTTATTCGTGCAGAAGAATTTCATAGCAACTATTGAAGACTCCTTGCACCAAGGAGGTCAAATATTATGTCTAAAGGCAGATTTTGAGAAAAGAGAAAAAAGCTGGAAATTTTAAAAGGATTTTCAGAGCAATATGCACTCTTCTAACGCCCTTTTAGGTCATTTGGGGCGTTTTTTTTCAACAGTTTTGTCTTTGTGACCCGATAGAACAGATGTCAAAGGATGCCCCCCCCCCCCCTTTCCACAAAAAAAAACTAAAAATAAAAAATAAAAAACCCAACAAAACAACGTTCGATAGTTTTCAAAATGTTATCTATATTTTCTGGGATTGTCAAATAACTTCATGAAAATGTCTCCACACACTTGAACTCGACTGGGGGAGAAGAGACATTTATTTATTCCTTTGTAGTAGCTTTTGTTTCGTTATCTGAACTTAAACCTGTATTACAGTGTGTGTATGTGGTGTGTGTGTGTGTGT